CACACTGGGCCAGCTAACCAATCAGAGCCCATCGTGTATTTCTGAGGGAGGGGCTTCATAAAAGCAGGAAATGATCAGCGTGTTTCTCAGAGAAGGGACAGAATGGTGTGGAATAAAGGTAAATTGTGTGAAAAATAATGAGTTTTTTTTTAAAACGAAGCATTAACACATGTTAGACTGCACCCCATAAACACAATCAAGCCTAGAAAAAAAACACTGAACCACCCCTTTAATAAACCCTTGTGTCTTCTGTGAAAACACAGTTTCTGTATAACCATATGGAATGACACTGTATACCTCCTTCAAATCATCACACAGCGGTTACACTTGACACAAATTATCAGTCACTCTCATAAACTATATACATTACTCTAAACAAATATACATTTACATTTTCTGAGTCGTTTTCTGTTTAATTATCACATACTGAAATAAATTTATTATTATTTACAGAAGAAGCGATTGCAACATGCAACACAGACCAACTGTCATTTTACTGGTACTTTCATCTGGGTGACTATTAAAGTCAAACTATAACAAAAATACAAACGTATTGTCCGCACACTGATGTAACTGCTCCATAAAAATAATTTATTGCTGCAACGTTTCGACCATCAGGTCTTCGTCAGGCACAAATTACGTGAACTGGTACAACTCTTTATAAGTAACAGGTGATCATTCTAATTAGACACATTCAATCACTATACAGGTACATTCCCACAAAAAAAAACAGAAAGAGAGAGAGCGAACGAGAGAGCGAGAAAGAGGGGAAAAAAAAAACTGCATTAAATTCGAATAAATATACAAAATAATACAGGTACAAATCTTAAACTCGAATAAACAATAATCACTCAAAATATTCAAACAATACTAAAGACAGATGAAAAAATACACACAATCCTATGGGAAAGGCTTAATATCAAATTCTTCATTCAACCCAAAAGGTGACAACGTATTTAGAGTATAAATCCAAAAACATTCCCTTTGTAAAAGTTTCCTCTCAAAATCTCCCTTCCTTGATGGTTTTTGTACCTTCTCTATACCGAAATACTGTAAGGCACTAACATTGTGTCCCACTTTGTTAAAATGAGATGCTATAAGACTGCGTTCAACTCCCGTCCTAATATTACTCCGATGTTCAGTAATGCGGGTGCGTAATGATCTAGAAGTTTTACCAACGTAAGCGAGACCACACGGACAACGAATAAGATAAATCACATGTGTAGATGAACAAGTAATTGTACCGCGTATCAGTATGTTACGACCAGTGTGTGGATGGCTGAAAAATGTACATTTATATGTAAAAGTACACTGGGCACAATTGCCGCATCTATAATTACCAGGAGGAAGAGTAAGAGTGACAGGTTTCACTACACTAGACGGGAACTCCGATCGTACAAGCATGTCACGCAGGTTACTTTGACGTTTAGAATCACTAGAAATAATATGCCAATGCCTGTAAAGAACCTTACGAAATTCTGCACTTAATGCTGAATACCTAACCGAACAAATAGGGCCATTGCCTGATTGTGTTTTATTGCTCGTAGCACGTAGACACTGTGTTTGAGATGTATCATCAAATTTACTCTTAGCTTCTTCTATCCATTCCCTACGATAACTACGATGTAGAAATCTTGAAGTCAAATCAGCGGACTATCGAGAGTAAAGGCCCGTTCACACCAAGCACGATAACTATAAAGATAACGATAAAGATATAGTTCTAAAAATCGTTCTCAATATTAAAGAATAGCATAGTTCACACCGCAACTATAATGATAACGATACAGAGGAACGATATCGTTGTTATCACTTCAAAACGATTTTTTTCCAGCTGATGAACGATAAAACACTGACAGCCAATCAGAATCCATCCTGCTGTAACGAGCTCAAGAATTTAAAACAAGCAGACACGCGTGCGCTTAGAATAAACAGACGATATCGTTCGCTGGTGTGGACGCTAATATCGTTATCTTTATAGTTATCGTTCTTGGTGTGAACGGGGCTTAAGACTCTTCAGTGCTACACACTCTGCGCACACGCTTAAACTGGCAAATAGGCAGGCTTTTAATAAGAGGTTTTGGGTGGAAACTATCACCTCTTAAAATTAAAATCGTGTTACGATCCATTGGTTTACGATACAATTCAGTTTGAAGTTTACCCTCAGAAATGTGTACCTTTACATCAAGAAAACTGATATTCTCTGTATCACACTCCATAGTAAACTTCAAGTGTTCAGTTCTAGAGTTGAGATAATTCAAAAACAGCAACAATTCAGTGGGTGTAGAATTCGTTATCACAAAGATGTCATCAATGTACCGTTTATAAAACATTATCTTAGGTAAAAAAGAATTTGATTCATTTCAAATGAACTCATTTTCAAATACACCCATATACAAGTAGGCATAATTTGGTGCCATTTTACTGCCCATTGCTGTTCCCTTCACTTGTATATAGTAATCATTTTGAAACCGAAAGTAATTATTAGTCAAAACAATGTTTATAAGATCCAGCAAACATGCTGTACTAGGTTTTACTCCACTCTGTCTTTGTTTTAGAAACTGTTCCACCGCCCGTAAGCCATCCTCATGAGGGATGTTGGTATATAGACTCTGAACATCAAGTGTAGCGAGAAGAACAGGATCGACAGAAAAATCAACAGCATACAATGATTCAATAAAATCCATAGAATCTCTTACATAGATGGTCGAATCAGGAGTGACACTGCGCTGTACAATAACAGAAGGAGCATCATCAGATAGAGTAGATATTTCAGTTGTCTAATTAGGATGACCACCTGTTACTTATAAAGGGTTGTACCTCAGTTCACGTAATTTGTGCCTGACAAAGACCTGATGGTCGAAATGTTGCAGTAAATATTTCTTATGGAGCAGTTATATCAGTGTGCAGACAATACGTTTGTTCTTTTTGTTATAGTTAAACTAATAAGATGTACCATATATGATAATTAGCACGCTAATAAGAACAGGAACAATTACCATAAAATCAAAAACATTCTACCATCTAGTGGCCATTCGTTTGGAATTCGGCATGTCCTTTATACAGCATTGTGAAACTGCTCAGAAAAATTTATTTTATGAGAAAGTTCACCCATGCTATACACATTCACACTTCAAAGATGCTGATAAGTAAACCTGAATTCATAGAGAGCCACTGTTGACAATCTTTTCACCATTTTCTTTCTCCGTTCAGATTTTCCACTTCCATTCTGGCCATGATCCTTCAGACAGTATTGTACTGAATCAGCATCTCTCTCAGTCCAGGACTTTTCGAGTATTTAAAGCACTTTTGTTTGCGTCTTATCTTAAGAGACCTGTCTCCCTCATGCAGAGAACATCTGCAGTACTCTAAAAGATTCCCTGCCACAGACAGACAGTGCGGCTGTCTCTCTATCTGGACTAATGATTATAACACCTCCACAACAATTCACCATCTGAGGGACACAAACAGCCGCGCTGCATTCCCCTGGCAGAAATACTTTTGAAAACTCATTTTCTTTCAGCTTTTCAATTTCGGTGCAGTTTCTCCCCCTTCTCCCTTTGTCTTTTTCTTGTTCTTTTCTTCTTGTTTATCCA